TCCATTGAAGCCCTGGAGATCAGATCCCACATAGAGGGTTAGGTGGCTCTCGTTCATCTGCAAGGTGGTGAACAGCTGGGCGTACATGATGTCCATCGAACTGCCTTAGTCGACCAGAATGCGACGCACGCCAAAATTAGCCATTTGTGCTCTCACGAGTAGTGGGATACTCGAATTCAGGGTCCCGCCTGACAATTCTTCCCTGTAGAACGCGGGGGGATGAAAGCCTCCTCAGAATTTATCGAGCGTGGTTTCCATATCTGAGTTGGCCTCAATGATTTGATCGAATCTCCTCTTCACCGATCCAACCGTGTGACTATTGAACTGACCACCGGAGATGACCGTGGTTGCAGGGAAGGATTCCCAAGGACTGTGGAAGGAGAAGTACAGGGGGACGTTCTCCATGGGGGACGTTCTCCATGTCTGGATAATAGAAGTTTTCCGGCTGTGAGATGCTCATGGCGACCGGAATGGGGTCGAGTTTGGGGGATTTCTTCCCTTCCTCGATGTTTTTGGTTTCTGGTGCTTCATCACAGGCACCCTCCTTCTTTTTATACTGCTTTAGGTGCCCGTCTCTGATCAATATTTCGATTGCATCCTTGAGATGAATGCAATCCTCTGTGTGGTGGTCGTGACTCTTGTGGAACCTACAATACTTGCTCTTGTTGGTTCCTGGCTTGGACGGTGTTTGTCGGGGGAAGCGCGCCCTGGCTTACTTGAATTCATAATTAGCGCATTCAGAAAGAATACGCTCCCTTGAGGTTGTCAGAGGGGTGCAGTCGTGGAAACGATCGGCTGGCCCCTTGTAATCTTTGGAATCACGGGACTTGTCCTCCCGTTTCTTCTCTCCCCGATGGGATGTCAAAGGCTCGTCGTTCTTTGAGGACTTGGCACTCTCTTCGTTCCTAGATTCTCTAGCGTTGTTGGCCGCTTCCTTCTCCTCTTACTGTATGTACGCCTGGGCCTTGAGGACGAGGGAGTCGAGCGTGGCTGGTGTATCTATGCCCATAGCTTTGATAAAGTCGCTGCGGGAACGGAGCCCGCGCTCGAGGAGGTACTTCTTCATGTTTTCCGTTGTTGGGACTTGGACCGCTTCCTTGTTGAAGCGTTCAATATATTCTCGCAGAGACTCATCCCTACCTTGTATAATTGCTTCGAGTGAAGCCTCCGATTTTGAGTTTCGACGGGAGGCGGCTGTGAAAAGCCTCGAAAATATCCTCCCGAGTTGTTTCCATGAGGTGATGGATTCGTCGGGGAGACTCTTGTACCATGCCATCGCCCCTTTTCTGAGAGTGGTTGGAAGAGTATGCATTTGATGGCTCCCTGGCCCCTCGGTAGTCGAGGAGAGCATCAATTTTCTCGATGTGCTCATCAGGGTATGTTGTTCCGTCATAGGTTCCCAATGTAGGCGGTTTCTCTAGGCCGACAGGAAGTGGAGCTTCGGTAATCTCCCTCAATAGCGGGCCACGGGGCTTCGTCATCCTCGCTATCAACGGGAGATGGAGAAGGAGAGTGATAGTTCTTCCCCGTCGATCGTCACGGTCTCTTCGGAGGGAGGGGCTCCTTCATTTCTGCTTTGGCTCGGGAAAAGGCAGTCGAGTGCGGTCGATTTTCCTGTTGTCTTTCCTTTTTTTGAACAAAGGGAAGTCTTGATCTCTGGCAGGAGGTGTGCGGTTGTGTTTCTTGAAGAAAGAAATGTTGCGCCTCTCTTTTCTGGGCGGTGGGCCACGCCGGGGTGGCGATGCACTAGGGGATTTTTGTAGTCGGGCTCTCCGAGGAGGAGATCTTGATCGCATATTCTCCCAGACCCCTGATCCTTTGATTTTGTTGTAGGATGAGGGTGTTGGTCTAATTGATGGCAGCGAGCAGTGCCTGCCATGGCCGGGTCGGTGTTAAAAGGGATGGGAACTGGTTGCATGACTTCTGGAAGTTCCTCGTAATATTCTTGGAGTGTCCCTTGTCCAAGAAATGGTCGTCACCCGCGTCGGGCGTCAGTGGAGTCCGGAGACGCGGTTTGTCCGTCCCCGGAAGCCCAGGTTGACCTCGAGGTGAGGATGTTCCTGACTTCCGTCGTTTTGTGAGAAGGGAAAGATTGGTCTTTCCGGACATGTGAAGATCATCATGGTTGGCCATGATTAGTGAGAGGAATCTTGAAAAATTTACTTTGATCTTATGTTTCGAGGAAAGAAAGACGGGGAGAGCAACTTCCACACAGACGACGCCACTGATCTTACCGGTTGATCAATACCCTGAGAAGTGGCCGAAAGATGATCTGTAGTCGGGTTGTGAAGTAAATGAGAAAAAGAGGGTTGTACCTGCAAGGCACTCCGATGATCAAGTAAGAGTGGGGACAAGAAGATACAAGCAAAGTATTAAGGGATGAATAGTGAATATTCGATACTTTGCCCTCACAGGTGTGAGGGTTTATATAATTCCCCTGGCGCGTGGCCATTGCTTCTTGATTTCACGCTTAGATATGCGGGGTCCATGAAATCAGGTAACTGTCAGAACTTGGTCAAACTGGGCAGATGTGGCCTGTAACTAGCTTTTGGTTCCGAGGAGGGGGTTAGTTACGGGCATCTCTCTGGTCGATTCTTGGTGGCTTGCACGACGTTGATGTCGGGCAGGCTGAGAGGATGATTGTCGATCATCTTAGGCAAGTGCTGAACTGGGAGGGCAACGACTGTCATTGCCTGACAGGTAATGGGTATTCCGGGTTATGGTCGTGCGGGCCGTGCCAAAGGAGATCTCTTAGACTTGGCTCAGTCAAGCTGTCGGGGTAAGTCCAGAACAGCAATCCAAACTATTAAGATAAATAGTAAAACAAAGATAACATCGATATAGATTAACAAATAGATTATATACAACGTCATGATCAATAAAAATACATACTAAAACAGTAAACTTACATCCAATCCCAACAAGAAAGAGATTTAGTTACCATGATAACTAAATACAAATAGAAGAATGAAGAAAAACAAGCATCCACCATGATTTCCCAGCGATTGATGCAAACCCCAGCTCCAATTCATCAAAGATCTCTCTCTCTCTCTCTCTCCTCTCTCCTCTCTCTCTTCTCTCTCATCTCTCTCATCTCTCTCTCTCCTCTCTCATCTCCTCTCTCTCTCTCTCTCTCTCTCTCTCTCTCTCTCTCTCTCCTCTCTCTCTCTCTCTCTCTCTCTCTCTCTCATCCCAAAATGGTGTCTAAGTCAGAGAGACCAAGAATGTCTCAGAGGTCTCCACAATGTGTTTTGCACAACTATACATACAAAATCTGATTTTCTGATTTCGCCCGACGAGCTAAAGCCTCGCCCGACAAAATAACTTTTTTCCTCACTTCAGACTGCATAAAACACCTAAACCACCCTTTGGAAATATCTACATTCGCTCGACGATCAAAGTTTCGCCCCAGCGAAATCCACGCTCCAGCCTCGTTTGGAGAACACAATGCAAAAAGTTACTGACTTTGCCTCGCTCTGTGCTCGCCTCTACCTCGCCTGAAGACCTCGCTTCTGGCTCGCTCCTTGCTCGCCCGGCAAAACAGCTGACAGTCAGCTTCTTTGCTTTGTGTTTTCTTCCTTGATTTATTTCTTCTTTTGTTGGTCTGATGCAACACTTTTTCGCACAAAAACAAAACATATCAAAGAAACGACAACCAAATGCAATTAGAACTACACACAAAAGAAAATTTTGGGAAATTCGATGATCGAAATTGCAAAATAATACTTAGACCAAATTTTCTTGTGGAAATTTAGTTATATTTGACACTTATCATAGATTGAACCAATTATGTCAAAGCCCACTGAAGCCCACTTGCATGCAGCACTAAAGATTCTAATATACCTAAAAAATGCTCTTGATGTTGGACTGCTCTTCAAAACATATTCAAATCTTAACCTGATTGACATCACAAACCTGACTGGAGTGCCTACTCTAAAACAAGGATATCCACCATATGATTTTGTTACTATCTTGACACATCCATCATATGGAAAAGTAAGAAACAACATATTGTTTCAAAGTCATCTTCATAGGCAGAGTACATGGCTTTAGCTAACATGTCTTGTGGAGTCCAATGGCTTCTATACCTCATTAAAGATTTATTAATTCCACATTCACGCCATGTTTCTATTTTTCATGACAGTAAAAGTGTTATTTACATTGCTACAAATCTAGTCTTCTATAAAAGAACTAACCTATCGAAATAGATTGACATTTGATTCATGGCAAAGTTCTAAGAGCTCATTGTCCATCTTCAGCCAATTAACTCACCAAACTATGTTGTTGATGTTTTTTACCAAATCACTTCATTTTAGGTTCATATTTAACTCAAGTTTTCAAACTTAGACTTGTTGATATACACTCGAATTTAAGAAAATTAAATTTTAATTTATTATATAATTAGTTTACTAATCTTTTTTCTATTTTTAGTTTGTTACGAGATCAGGATGGTCTGACAAAACGTTGTTCTTACTTAAAAATCAAACTCGGTATTCCTCGAATGTTGTCCTTAACGAGAACTTTATGAACTCCCCTGGAGGCCAAGTACTTGGTTTATTTTTCTTTTTCTATTCTATCTTTTCCAATAAAAAACATATAGCACTACAAAGTCTTGGTTTTAGCAACAAAAAGACTAGAAAAGATGTGAAATTAAAACACCTAACAAGCTTTTTCCAAAGTTGTACAAAAGAAAATCTCTTAATTAAAGGAATAAATCTAAACTAAGTCAATTCCTAATCAAAACATGATTATATACAAAGAATATTACTCAAATGAATGCATGTCTCAACATATTCACAACAAACTTTACTCAGTTCTACCCATCCTTGAAATATAAAATGAATCAGATTGGTTATACTGTAAATCTGACATTGTTTTAAACATCTGCACAGTAAAACTTGAAATAGAAAATGAATCACATTACTCTACTTTAAAACTATTAGTTTAGAAACTCGAATTTTCACTTACAACAAGATGAAAATACAGTGCTGTCAAAAATTTCACACAGGTGGAAGATTCCAAATGACATCTAGGTTGTTTTTTGCAATCCATTTATGAGGATAGAAGGAATGAGATGACTTGAGATCAATACGCCAAACCAAGACTCTCGAGCAGTCGTTCATTAAGCCCTCCATTTGACTTTCATCTTCAACAACCTGCTCAATCAACATGCTAACCTACATATAGCAAAAACAAAACAAATTTCACAATTGATTTCAAAAACATCATTTCAAGTTGGATTAATCAGTATGCTACATTTTTGTTTCACTCGACCGAGAAAGAACAACATGAGGGAATCTAGAACATCAGGCAATTGCAAATATTACAGAAATAGAAGGCAAACAGACAACATTTCATTGCAGATCAATTTCAACATGTTGGATTGGATAGAGAAAATTATATACTAAGAGCACCAAAAAAAGATTTGCTAAGTTACCAACCCACAAATTCTCCTCGGCTGATTCGAGCTGTCTGATACGTTCAAGAAGTGATCGGTGCCACTTCTTTCGTCCCCATAGTATCGTACTATTGAAGGCAAAACCTGATATTTCAGCATGGAATCTTTTAGATTTCCTATCTGATTCGTTATTTGTGTGCCACCCAATTACTTCACTTCCATTGCAAATTGGCCCTTGCAAGACAGCGCCACTTCTATCCTCTGATAGTTTTGCAACAGTCCATGTTCCAAATCGCCTGCAAAAACATTGTAGGAAAGAATAATATGCTAAAGATTTTCTGCATAACAAAATGTGATTGAAGAGTGAGAGGAGAATAACAGAAATCATCTGGCTGCATAGTATCACGGAAGTAAACATACCTTATTTCTCTCATTTGCTGAAAGAGTTCAACTGAGTAGATGTCATCATCGTCTGCAAAATAGACAATTCCATCGAGACGGTGAGTTTCAATGTGAGCTATGGCGATATTTCTCATAAGAATACTCTTATGGCTTGTGTTGGTGAGATTCATTTTGCAGACAAGATGCCTATACACGATCCCACTACTCCTCAAGATGTCAGAAGTTTCTTCAGATTGAGAATTCATCTCAACAACAATCCACAACAAAGGAGGTTGGACCAATTTCAAAGTTTGTGACAAACGGTGCAAGTAATAAGCTTGAAATAGACGATTATAAGTCGGCGTGATAACAATGAGAAGCTTCTGAGACTCCAAATATGATTCTTCACTGAACTGGCTATCTGAGATGTTATATGCTACACCATTTGTTAGTTCTTGTTCTTGCAAAGGTGAAATCAAAGTAGCATCAAACTTCACATCCTCATCAACTAATGGTGTCATATTTGTCTTCAAATTTTCCACTTCAGATAGTATCTCAAAAGAGAGACCTTGATGGTTTGCCATGATCTTCGAGGACATGTTAGTTGACGCGAGTGGGATGAGTCCAATGGAAACACCAACCATGAAACAAATGAAAGAATGGAAAAGCAGTTTCCTCCAAAGCTGTCCCTTGTGCTTTGAATTCGATCTCTCAATAGCCCTCAAAGATGCCCGGGAGTCTAGTGAGGTGACCGAAGAAGGTAACAGAGAATTCTGAGGACTTGAAGAGGATTTGGACAAAGGGGAAGACACTGAACAGAGTTGTAGATTTGTTAGAGTTCCGGCTTTTCTAATAGTTGCCATTCACATAAATAAATCCAAATCAATGTTGAGTAACTTTAACTCCAAACTTGTGATAAACTAACTAGTTATCTTTCTCAGCCAAAAATAGTAACCAACAACTAACAAGTGCATATTCACACAATGTATTTAGGTTCAAACTCTAGGGAGTTCAAGCAATGTTTGTAAGCAAGTTAAGAATGGAAGTACCTAAATGACAGCGAAGCGGAATGGAGGCGAGTGATTATTCAAACATTGCAACCAAGTGGCACTGAAAACAGAAATGAGGTTGAGGTTCGAGATTCTGTGCTTGCTTTTTAAGAGATCTAATCTAAAAGGATGAAAATTCAAAAATAAAATGCTCCGGGTGGAGAAAAATAATAGGGACACACAAAGATGTCTCTTTTCGTGATTCCTTGTCTCAAACATGTGCATATTATTTTGAGTAATGTTTCTTTTAAGGAAAAGAATAATGTTTCACACCACTAATTTTTAGGGTTAATTATATCATACTTTTGTTAAATTGGTGAGATTTGATTTGTTCCCTCGTAGAGACTAGAATTATGAATTAAATTAATTTAGATTATTAATTTAATAAAAAAATTATTTTAAGTGTTATTGAACTTCTTTTGTATTTGAACTTTTAGATTTATTATCAAATATGACTATTATATATATGTAGTATGAATGAGACATTGATTGAAGGGTATGAATAAAATGAAAAAGTCTTTATTTTATTAGTAACTTTATTGTCTTATTAGCTTTAGAATTTTTCTTAGTTTTGTTATGGTTCTTGTATAGCATCCTAACAACTGGGGTTTTCATTCTTGCACTCAAGCTTCTCTCATGGAGTATTATAACTTTGCACCCTCTCATCAATGGAGCATTCCTCCAACCTATCCCATAAATCCCTCTCTCACATCTCCTATCAATCCCTTATTTCCATCTTTTCCATGAGAAGTTTTTCACCTTATTACATGAATTCATATGTTACAACCACATCACCATGGTTGTATTTTAATCATGGGTATACACCACCTCCACCTAACTCATATTCATCCTATTCTACATCTCATCATTAATACTACTACAACAATTATCAAAGACAACTACAACCAACAAACACCTCATCCACAATTAATCCTAAATATCAGAACTATTTTAGTACTAGAAAATATTTTGAGAAGCATTTGCAAGTGTCTCATTCCTGTTTTAAGAAAACATCAAAAATAAAATCTCAAAAACCTTCAGATTTAATAGTTTTCTCCTGCGAAATTTTCTACAATTTTTCAGGCGAAATTTCCGACATTATTTCCGACTACATCTCTCATGAACCCTACTCTCTCCCACACCGCCACTTTAATTTCGGTTTCATCAACCATTGCAATCTCTTCCCTCGACAACGAAACAACCTAGAAGGTTATACGACAGGTTGAGTTTTACTTCAGCGATAGCAACCTTTCCAGGGACAATTTTCTCAGAAAAAAATATCACTAAAAGTGAAGACGGAATGGTTAGTTTGACTTTGATTTGTTATTTCAATCAGATGTGAAAGCATCTTAATTTGGGTGATGTTAAACCCAATGAAGTAAAGGATGTGACTATTAAAGTTGTTGCTGAGATTTTTGAAATTCTGGTTGTCAGATCCTAGATGTCCTAAGAGATGTCGAGACATCAGATCCGACTTTAACACGCAATAATAAGATATATGAACAAAATAAACAGTGTTGAATATAAAGAACACACATATATGTTTACCCAATTCAAAACAACTTTCCCACTCTAGGGCTACCAAGGCAGAGACGAAATTAACTAGATAATATCAATTTATAGACCTCACAGCAAACATCCCAGTTTACAACCTACGCACTTAATCACTATCATTTGCTTAACTTCTACCTAAGACACACCTAGGCATGAGGCTCTCCTCAAATCCCTCTTCAATTACACTCGGCAATTAGAGCAACTCTAAACATAAGTAGAGAATAAAACTGAAAGTCACTCTTCTAAGACACATAAAACTCAATATTTAAAAGCTTATGAGAATTGACACACAAATACTCAATGATTAACAACTTATGAGCATCTGACACACAAATATTCAATGCTTAAAAGCTTATAAACATCTGACATAAAACTTACAACCCAACAATAAGGATTCTAAAAACCCTAACAAAACACACATGAAAGTTCCACCTAATACTAGGTATACACCAATCTATTTATAACATTATTCTGGACTGCGTTAGGCTTCAAAAACGCAGTAGTGAGGTTGCACAAAGTCTGTAAATTCTTATCCAAAAAAATAGGTCTTCAATCATTAGTTTCCTAAAATTTATGAATATTTAGAAACTTTGTATGTCTTTGAAAACCAACATAGAATCTATTATTTTGTCAATCTTGGACGCCATATAAGCTAACTAAATATTCTCTGAATATTCAGTAACTAATAAATCAGCTGAAACATAATTGTCAGTTGTTGCAGACGCGATGTCCTATCCTCCTGGTTGAGACATCTTATTCGATATGTTGAACATTGCAAGTTGAAACATATTATTCAACATGTTGGTCCAAGTTGGTTTTACCAAAATGTATGTCAATCACAATTTCAGAGAAATAACAGTTTCCCCCCCTTTGACACATTTTGGCTAAAACACCCAAATAACCTTTGTACAAGAAAACATCATAAAGTATGCTTGAAAATAAATCAAACACATACATCAGAGGTACAACAACAGAAAAACAGAAGCAAGGTTAGCAGCACGCAAATCAGCAGCACGCAACCCAGAGACACAATTAGTAGTTAGTTGATCTACTAACACAACTACAACAACAAATAGAGAACCTAAGTTCTCAACACCATGATGTCAAGACATCGTGTATGACATCTCTTTAGAACAGCATGAACTCCCCCTTAACACCTATTATCACAACAGAGAATCACAAAATTTCCCCCTCAACAGTCTCAATAGTAGTATCAGCTCCAGCACCCTCAATATCATACTACTCCCCCTTTTTAGCCATAATATGACAAAGGTAAGTAGAAAATATTAGAAAAAAAACATTTAAGCACCTAAAGGTTAAGTATCAGGGTGCAAAAACTAAAAATATCATGGGCATTTAACCCTTACAAAATCATAAACAAAAATAAACAGAATCATAAGACAAATCCAAACAAACTCCCATGACCAATTGTCATGCATTAGCATCTTATTTTTCTCTAAAAGCACTGGCAGAATATTCATTAGGTGCAGCATCATCCTTAGCGTCCTCATCAACAGATGAAATGCCAACATTAATTTATATAATTCTTCATAGATACAAATCTCAAGTGTCCTCCTTAGGTTCTCAAACTGAATTACGTCAAGAGCTTTTGTAAAGATATCAGCAAGCTGATTCTCAGTACTGATATGCTCAAGCTTTATCACTTGTCCTCCATAAGTTCTCTGATGAAATGATGTCTGATGTCAATGTGTTTGATCCTACCATGCTGAATAAGATTTTTAGAAATATTAATAGCACTTAAATTGTCACAAAATAATATCATAACATCTTGTGTGACATTGTATTCATACAACATTTGCTTCATCCACCCCAGTTGAGAGCAGTTGCTTCCTACGACTATGTACTCAGCTTCAGCAGTAGATAGAGAAACACAATTTTGTTTCTTGCTGAACCAAGAAATTAAGTTGTTTCTCATAAAGAAACATCCTCCAGAGGTACTCTTCCTATAACCAACACTTCCAGCCCAATCAACATCGTAAAATCCCACCAACAAGGAATTTGTATCATGGGAATACAACATACCATAGTCATATGTCCCATTCACATACTTTTGAATCCTTTTCACTTGGTTAATATGACTTACCTTAGGTTCTTCTTGATACCTTACGGATACTCCAACAAGAAAAGTGATGTCTGGTCTGCAAACAGTAAGATATAGAAGGTTGTTAATCATGTTTCTATACAAACTCTGATAAACATTAACTCCTTTTTCATCTTTGGATAACTTCAGATGTGTAGAAGCAAGAGTTCTTTTATGGATGGCATTTTCCAATCCAAATTTCTTCACAATATTCCTTGCATACTTGCTTTGATAGAAAAATGGAGTCTTCCATCTGCTTGACTTGCAATCCAAGGAAGTAAGTCAGTTCACCTACCAAACTCATCTCAAACTCAGATTGCATCTTCCTGCCAAAATGTTGGACCATCTCATCCGACATTCCCCCAAAAACAATGCCATCCACATAGATCTAAGCTATCAACAATTATCCAGCTTCTTCTTTGTCAAAGAGTGTCTTGTCAATTCCATCCTTCTTATATCCATGATTGACTAGAAATCCAGTCAACTTCTCATACCAAGCTCTTGGAGTTTGTTTCAAGCCGTAGATGGCCTTCTTCAATCTAAAAACATGATCTGAAAAGGAAGGATCAATAAACTCTTTTGGTTGTTTAACATAAACTTATTCATTAAGGTACCCATTTAGAAAGGCACTCTTGACATCTATTTAATACAACTTGAACCTTAGATGACAGACTACTCCAAGCAGCAATCTGATAGACTCCAAGAAATCCATAAGAGCAAATGTTTCATTAAAGTCTATTCCATCAATTTGAGTGTACCCCTGAGCAACCAGTCTGGATTTATTTCTGATGACACCTCCTTGTTCATCTGTTTTGTTCTTATACACCCATTTTGTACCAATGATATTCGTCCCTTCAAGTCTTGGTACGAAATCCCAGACTTCATTTATCTTGAACTGAACAAGCTCATCTTGCATAGCATTAATCCAGAATTCATCAGTAAAAGCTTCTTTCACATTCTTAGGCTCAATCTTAGACACAAAACAAGCATTCGATACAACTTCCTTTCATCTGGTGACTACTCCTTGTCTAGAACTTCCTATTATAAGCTCCTTAGGATGATCCTTTTGAATTCTGAGAGAAGGTCCTTTATCAGCTACCTGAGGTTCTTCGACTTCAGAATCGACACTTGAACCTGCAACATTTGTAGTAGATGTTGC